GAGAAGAGGCTGTTATGTGTGAGAATACGCGAGAGAGAGAGAGAGAGAGAGAGAGAGCAAAGTTCAGCAAACAAATAGCTTCTTAACATTTATTAGAAAACCCCTGCGGGTTATCCAAGAGGCCCCTGCAAAGAATTAGCAGGGGCCTCCTCAACATGAACGAGTCAATGGTCATAGTCATGTTAGAGGTGTGGCAGGCCAAGTATATATGCTGTTGATTCACATTGAGGTCCGTGTTTCAGCAGTTATGGGACCACTGAGCACGCGAGTTTTTGGGCCGTAGCAGGCCAACTCAGCACGTGCTTTTCAGGGCTTCCCTCCACTACTCACCAAATGTGCAAAACTAGAATGAATCTTCTGCTAGAACATGGAACCATACGTCGCCATATGTTTTGTCTTTTGTGCAACCGGTAACGAGTGGAGCAAGGCCCTTAGGGCCACTGCTCGTAGGAAAAGGAAACAAAAGAAGAGAGGAATGAATCTTCTGCTGGAACATGGAACCATACGCCGCCATATGTTTTGTCTTTYGTGCAAGTAGTGACGAGTGCAGCAAGGCTCTTAGGGCCACTGCTCGTAGGAAAACGAAACAAAAGAAAGAGAGAGCCACGGTAGTAATGTAACCCATAACTGCTAGAAAGCAGACCTCACTTCGAAACCAGAACATATATTGGTGGCCTGCTCGTTTCTCACACGAATTTTGCTCAACCTCTCTCGAGATGTTGGGAGTCTGGGGACCCTTGCATATACGCTGCTGGGGTCTTTTAGGCAATAGACCATTTAACAAGGAACATGTGGGCCTAATTTCTTTTTCTGTGCCCTTTGATTTTTTAGAAGGGAGGGGCACCATTGGCTACCTCAGCCAGCCCTTTCCGAATTTTTTTTTAATACCTTATTTATTGGGGTGCGCCGCATGACGTGCGTGCGCATGCTTGCGCGTGCGCTATGCGCCGCACGTGCGGAGCTAGCGCAGACGCGATGCGCCGCAGGTATGTTAGAAACACATGCTATGTTTCCACAAATGGATTGAACAGTAGGTCCATGTAATTGATCATTTACATTACATGTGCACGTGCACATGCATGAGGACAAAGACAAAAGCATACCCAATCAACCAATGCCAGGCCAACGAAAACAACACTAAACCAAAAAAAAAAAAAAAAAAACAAAGCCAACGTGTTTAGGCAATCGTCTACAGCTCACACTGTCGACGGTTGCCATACGGGCTTTTTCCATAAGAAACAGCAGTTTCTTGGGTGTGTCGGTCGGAAGGGAGGAGGCGGTGGACTTCAATGCTACTATTTCCTATTTGAACCCCCCCCTGCTCCATACGAGCTTTTTTCATAAGAAACGGCAGTTTCTTGGGTTTCACTGTCTGTCTTACGACTCCATGTCTTGAGAGTGAGATTCTTGCCTACTTTGTCAATTGCCCATTGCCGAAAGCCAAACCAAAACCAAACCAAAACCAAAATTAACACTGAAGCAAAGCCAAACCAAGTCATACCAAAAAACAAGATAAAGAAAGAAAAAGAAGAATCACCCACAGAAAAATAGCGGTAGTTTGCATTAGAACGTCACCACTTGAATTGCAGGATGTGTCCGCAACAATGAAAGCAAACGACAAGGAAACGAGTCCCTATTATAACGTTCGATCTCCATAAGACCCACGTTTCATCCAATACGTAGAATAATGACGGAGGAGAGTCCGGAGACAAAGGAAAGCAGAATCAGTCATAGCTGCGACCTCTACACTTTTTTTTCACAGCAAGGTAAAAGCATCTTGCCTGCCATTTCTGTTTCGCAAATATTCAAAACTCTCGTCATCCATTTCCAAAAAAACGTGTTTGTCATTCTGTGAAAATGCTGTAAATTCAAGGTACTTTCGTTTTTTCGTTTTTTTCTTTTTTTTTTTTTGCACCGCAAGGATTTCTCAGTAATTTTCCCAAAAGTGCCAAAGGCTAGAGCAGCTTTCACGACTGCTGCTATGCAGATGCACCGACACGTCAGAGACCCGATCCCAGTCCCGCAGAGTTGCCTGTTCTTGCTACCAAACCAAACCAAACCAAACCACGCTATGCAGACTAAACCAACCAATCATGGATGATGTCGAAGAGAGGGAAAAAACAGACAGCCTAGATAATGTGGATGAAGTGTAGGTGATGTGGATGATGTCGACGAGAAACGAAACGGATAACACGGATAGTGTGGATGTGGATAATGTGGATAATGTGGATAATCTGCACAACGTCCATAATTTGGACGATGACCATAATTTGGATGATGAATGTGGATAATGTGGATGATGTGGATAATGTGGAATCATTGAGGATAAACGAGTAATCGTTGTGGATAATGTAGAATCATTGTGGATAATGTGGATAATGTGGATAATGTGGATAATGTGGAATCAATGTGGAATCAATGTGGATAATTTGGATAATTTGGATGATGTGGATAATGTGGATACATTGTGGATAACTTGCATCATGTGGATTATTTGGATGATGTAGATTATTTGGATAAGGTGGATAATGTGGAATAATTGTGGATAATGTGGATAATGTGGATAATGTGGAAAATGTGGAAAATGTGGATAACTTGGATAATGTGGAATCATTGTGGATAACTGTGGATAATGTGGAACATCGTGGATAATTGTGGATAATTTGGATGATGTGGATGATGTGGAACACAACAGTTGATGAGAATGAACAATGACTGTAGGGAAAAGAACCACCACGTGAGAACACAACAATTTTGAGATGCAAGAGGTCACTGAAGATCAATAAAGAGTTGATTAAGCCGAGTTGAAAGCAGAATGGCAAGGCCGAGAGCACACCAGACCAAATCAAGAACACACTGATCACAACAAAAAAGCCCTCCTTGCACCTTCAACAATCAATACAACAACAGAGGAGCAGCCCTAGCTACTCTCCGACACAAACTAAGCCACTTACTACCTCTCGCACTCTCCATTCTCCTCTCGCCAGATGTCACCGAGGAGTCGGATCACGGAGGCACTTATCTGTCACACAACAGGTAAGTGTCCACTCGTTCCCACCACCGCTCTCCTTCCCTGTCGTACCCTGATCACTCACCACCTTCTCCCACACACAGCACTCCGCTCACCCAGCTTTGCCTCTCTCTCTCTCTCTCTCTCTCTCTCTCTCACTGCGCCGCACTCACCCAGCTATGCCTCTCTCTCTCTCTCTCTCTCTCTCTCTCTCTCTCTCTCTCTCTCTCTCTCTCTCTCTCTCTCTCTCTCTCTCTCTCTCTCTCTAAGACTAGAGAAAGCAAAAGAAAGAACTGCATAGCAAAAAGCAAAAGATCGGTTTCAGTGTGCTTCGCGTTGTCTTCTATTTCCTTTGTTGGTTTGGCAAAGTGTGCTCTTTTGGTCGATACACATATCAGCGGTAATACTGCAATTTTCCTTTGCTTCCACGTGGTCGGATGCATCAGATGATTCAGATCCATATCCATAACCATGCAAGCCATTAAAAAAATAAAAAAAAACTCTCACTTCTGAAAATAAAAAGATCCCTTTAACATCAGACAAGTTCCCAGGGGTATTATTGCAATTTGCCAATTTCCCTTCTCTTCTTCACTTCTGCACTCCTCGTACAAATATATTTTTTGTTTTTCCTTAATTAATTAATGAATTTAATATTCAGTTTCATTAATTTAATTCAATTTCGCACCTGAGATCTTCTATGTGCACAACGTCTGTGTGCAGATCCTTCAACAGACGGCAATGATGTTTGCTGATCGAGAAGTCATTGCCTGCATCCGCCCGACCTATCGTGGTCTCTCCCCCCTTTAGCATAATATTGCCGAAGGGGTTATTAATGGCCACTGCAGCACCCAAGAGACACCCACCCCCCCCACCACCACCACCGCCACCACCAGAAATTAAACACATCCCCATCCCCACCCATCCCCACCATGCCACCCACAACCAATGAGAGCCCGGAAAAGAAATCGGAAGCTTTAAAAAACTTTCAAAAATGTTCAAAGTAGTACCAATCAAGAAATTTTGGATTTCTTAGCCCCGGTACCTGCAACCGCCGTCTGGTCAGGTCACTCGCCAAGATGGCAATGGGTGATGGTCCTGGGTGGTTAACACTAGGGGGGTAGGACAGGGG